CTGCTGCTGCTGCTGCTGCTGCTGCTTTGCGGCTTTCGAGCGTCAAAGGCCAGCTTTTTGCTTCTCGAAACTTCGACAAAAAAGGACTCATGCTGAGTTCAGAATAAAACACAAAAAGATGTTCCAAAGTTTCCAACTGCAGCAAAGAAAGAACATCCACGGGCAGCTGCTGCAGCCCGTACGCATTCACTTCCACCAGCTGCTGCTGCTTGTCTGCTGCTGCTGCTGCTGCTGCAGCTGCTGCAGTTGGCGGGGGGGCCCCTGGGGGCCCCCCGGGCTCCCCCGCGGGCGGGGGGCCCCCCGGGGGGGCCCCCAGGGGGGGGCCCCCGGGGGGGGCCCCCTCTAGCAGAGGGGCCAAATAAGATGTGAAGTCTTGGGAACAACAAAGATATTCATAAAGGGGAATAAAATGGACTTTTGCAAAATGATGAAAAGCTGATAGGCGAGAGGGATGCAAAAGACGAAGAGATGGAACCTCCTGCTGATGCTGCTGCTGCTGCTGCTGCTGCTGCTGCAGGGCTTCGGCACTTAGCTGCAGGAAAAGAAATTCGAAATCTATATTTTTCAAAGTCCTTTTAAAACCCTTTTCACGTTTTTGCAACTTCGCCATTTATTTGTTTTCATTTTGTTAATTTAATTTAATTTAATTTAATTTAATTTAAATTTAGTTGAATTGAATTTAATTTTAACTTAATTTTATTTTATTTCAATTGAATTTAATTTATTTTGATTTAGTTTGACTTATTTTACTTTATTTGTTAATTATATCACCACAACTGGGATACCCTTCCCTCCTTTCTGAGCCCAAACCCTAAACCCTAAACCCTAAACCCTAAACCCTAAACCCTCACCAGATGCAGCATGTTCAAGTACGCCAATTCCCTAACTGCTGGCAGCCACAAAAAAAGCGGCAAAACTCTCATAAAACCCTCGGGCCGCACTAAACCCTCGTCGGGCTCCACGCTGAACTTCTCGAAGAAATGCACCAACTAAACACACAAACCCTAAACCCTAAACCCTAAACCCTAAACCCTAAACCCGAAACCCCAAACTCAGACCCTACGGGCCTCGAATCCCGCGGCACACAAACCCCAAACACCCTAAACCCTGAACCCTAAACCCTAAGCCCTAAACCCTCGGCAACCGAAACCACAATGGACAAAAGCCGCAGATGCCTCAAAGCTGCGTAAACCCTAAACCCTGATCTACAAAAACGGGCGAGTAAACCCTAAACCCTAAAAAGGGGTAAAAGGAGCCAAAGGGAGACGCAGACTCGAAAACAAACACAAAAAGAAATAAAATCTTGAAAACATTCTTTTAAAATTAGAAATAATTGAAAAAAATAAACAAAAAATAAATGAAAAAGAAAAACACGAAAAGAGCGAAAGCCAAGGAGAGGCCAGCAGCCCCACAAAAGCCCCTTCCTGATGCCTAGGGTTTGGGGTTTAGGGTTTAGGGTTTAGGGTTTGCTGCACCTGGGCCTCGTCGCTGAGCAGCTGCTGCTGCAGCTTCAAGTCGAAGCAAAACCTTTTGAATGCAACAACAGTTAGTCCCATTGGCACACCTTAGGGTTTAGGGTTTAGGGTTTAGGGTTTAGGGTTTGCTGCACCTGGGCCTCGTCGCTGAGCAGCTGCTGCTGCAGCTTCAAGTCGAAGCAAAACCTTTTAAATGCTACAACAGTTAGTCCCATTGGCACACCTTAGGGTTTAGGGTTTAGGGTTTAGGGTTTAGGGTTTGCTGCACCTGGGCCTCGTCGCTGAGCAGCTGCTGCTGCAGCTTCAAGTCGAAGCAAAACCTTTTAAATGCTACAACAGTTAGTCCCATTGGCAAATCTTCTAAAGAATTAAGTCGAGCTTTAACTGCTGCTAAAGGGGCTTTGGAATAGTACGCAAACACCTCCGTCAAAGCCCGCTTCAGCCTGCAGCAGCAGCAGCAGCAGCAGCAGCAGCAGCAGCAGCAGCAGCAGCAGCAGCAGCGGGAGCGGCAGCGGTGGCGGTGGCAGCGGGGCAGAAAGAGCAGCAGCACAAGAAGCAGCAGCAACAGCAGCAAAAACGGCAAGATACACACAAGCGTACATTTATGTGAATGCCTTGCTGCTGCTGCTGCTGCTGCTGCTGCTGCGTCTGCTGCTGCTGCTGCTGATAGAGATACCATAAGTAATACATTTGGTTATAAGCAGAGAGACAAGACGAAACAAAACTCTTTTTTTGAATAAAACTTTTATTTATTTGTTTATCTAATCTATTTATTTATTTATTCCATTTATTTATTTATTCTACTTATTTATTGTTCATTTTCTCAGTTTAATTTATTTTTGTTTTGTCTATATATTTATTTGAAGAAGAATAGAGAAGAAAGCCGAGAAGAGAGCAAAACCAATAGCAGCACACAGACGGAGGGTTTAGGGTTTAGGGTGTAGGGTTTAGGGTTTAGGGTTTAGAGACCTTGGCGTATTTTTGAGGAGCTTTCTAATGCTTGTGTGCATATCGTAGGGGTTGCAGGTGCGCCAATTCATCTGAGAAGAAAGAACACAATTGCTGCTGCTGCTGCTGCTGCTGCTGCTGCTGTTGCTGCTGCTGCTGCTGTTGCTGCTGCTGTTGCTGTTTCTTCTGCTGCTGCTGCTTTGGCGCTTTAGCAGCAGCAGCAGCAGCAGGGTTTGTGAGCTCATTAGAAAGCTGTTTTTTCGCGCTTGCGGCGCGCATCGCCGAATCCGCAGGATCTAGGGTTTAGGGTTTAGGGTTTAGGGTTTAGGGTTTGGACTTTGGCGAGGGCGCAAACAGGATGAAGAGGAGGGGCTTTTTGGTTTGTGGCTCTCGAGACAATTAAAGGGCCCAGGGCCCCTTCCCGTAGAGACAGCGCGTCTTCTGTCTGTACACCTGAATTCAAAACAGAAAAACAATTATTAATTAATTAATTAATTAATTAATTAATTAATTATAGTTTTGTTTATTTATTTGTTTGTTGTCTTTTATTTGGTTGTTTGCTTGTTTTGCTTTTGGTTCCACTGAAAACGGCAGCGAAAGAAGGCAGACAGCAGCAGCAGCAGCAAAAGGAGCCAGCAGCAGCAGCAGCAGCAGCAAAAGGAGCCAGCAGCAGCAGCAGCAAAAGAGCGGGAGAAGATTTGCCTTTTTGCTGCCGAGTGACACAGAGCTGTGCGACTTCGTGGGGAGCGAGTTTGGGAATATTTTTGTTTTGGATTTTGCTTCGAACAAGTTCTAAAGCTGCTTCTTTTTGCTGCAGCTTCTCCTCAGTTTGCTGCAGCAGCAACTCTCTCCATTTATTTCCTTTTTCCATTCCCTGGAGTTGGATTTCGGTGTATATACAGCTCGCGAGTTCTTCGAAAGTGTCTGCCAGCGAGAACCGCTGCAGCAGCCGCAGCTCGTCGCTGGCGCCCACACGCAGCCAAATGCGCCCCAATCGACCCCCAAATACCTTTTTCTGATCCCATTTTTCATTTAGTTTTCACATTTAACTCCAAAAATAATTTAAAACAAGAAAAAAGACTCAAAAATGAAGAAAAACGAACAAAAACGCAAAAGCCCAGCGCCCGCTGCAGTGCCGCCGAGCTGGGGTGTACGTACACCCCAAGTGTATGCAGCGCAAAAACGCAAGAACCATTTTGCGGAATTTAAATCCGCTTGGACCCAAAAGTGAATTAAAATGCGAAATTAAAAAGAATTAATTCAAATAAAATCCAAATTTGAATTCAAAATTCAAAACAAAATCGACAAAAAAACGAAAAATCGAAGTATAGCGCAGCGCAGCAGCAGCAGCACAAAAAGCAGTAGCAGAAGCAGCAAACGCAGCAGCAGCAGCAGCAAAAGCAGCAGCCGCAGCAGCAAAAGCAGCAGCAGCAGGAGAAACAGAAAAGAAGAGAAAATCAAAAATGGAAAAGGAATCCAGAAACAAACGAGCCACTTAATTCAAAAAGAATCTCGAGACAAACACTTTCAATAAAAGGAGAAATTAAAAATAATAAAATAACAATTACAGAATAATAATAAAAAAAAAATAATAGTGAAATAATAATAATGAAATAATAATAATGCAATAATATTACAAATTAATAATAATAGGAGAGCAATGTTAAAATAATAATTATATAATAAGTATAAATAAATAAACAAATAAATAAACACTTAAGTCAAAGACATATAAACGCAGCAGCAGCAGCAGCAGCATCAGCCGCTGCAGCAGCAGCAGGAGCACCATCATCCACTGCAGCAGCAGCAGCAGCAGCAGCACCATCATACACTGCAGCAGCAGCAGCAGCACCATCATCCACTACAGCAGCAGCAGCAGCAGCACCATCATCCACTACAGCAGCAGCAGCAGGAGCAGCAGCAGCACCATCCACTGCAGCAGCAGCAGCAGCAGCACCATCCACTGCAGCAGCAGCAGCAGCAGCTTACGCGATTTTGCCGTAGGTGACGAGGAGTTCTTCGAGGTTGAAGAACTGTCTTTCTTTCAAAGAAGAAACATAATTAATTATTTGTTTTGTCATTTTGTAAAACTGCTGAATGTACTGCTGCTGCAGCATGCCGGCCAGCGGCAGCAAGTTCTCCTCCCGCAGCCGCCTGCAGCAGCCCCAAACCCTAAACCCTAAACCCTAAACCCTAAACCCTGAATTGGGGTTTGCAGCGAGGCAGACCCGCACCTTCCGGCACACAGACCCGCAGGGGTTTTGAGCGACAGGCTGCGCAGGGGCCGCTCCGCTCAAAGCCAGGGTTTAGGGTTTAGGGTTTAGGGTTTAGGGTTTGGGGTTTAGGGTTTAGAGTTTGAGTTTTAGGGTTAAGGGTTTAGCCCCGAGGCTCTCCTTCTCGTCGCTGCAGACTTCGCCAGAGCCGAAGGCGCGCCCTGCAGACTACCAGGGCTCCTGAACGAACCCTTAGGGTTTAGGGTTTAGGGTTTAGCGTTTAGGGTTTAGGGTTTACGAGAGGTCGTTTCTTTCGGCCAGGAGCCGCAAACTGCGGGTTTGCGTCCGCAGCAGCGATTGCAGCATCAGCTGCGTAAACAATTTCATAATTTGCTG